GTATAGTTATAGTTATATAAGATTTACATGTACAGATAAAGGAATCACATAAGATATGTAAAAAAGTGTCATGTGGGACTGTGGGACAGAGATGTTATGTTTGCATAAACAAAAGAAAAGTAAAAAAAGAGAGAGAGAGAAATATTAGACTGCGCAGAAATGAACAGATTAACGTTGGCCATTGAAGAGAAAGAAGAATCAGAGTATTTGTAAGATAGGGGGATGGTTTTATCGCTGGTTAGAAAACGAATATGGATAAAAAAGAAACAGAAAATGGAATAATTTGGGAGGAGCTGAATTGAAATGTAAAGGTAAAAGTGAGATTAAAAATAGATTAAAATGACGCAACTTTTAAATATGATGAGATAAAGATTGTACCCAGATGACACACCATAAGATTAATTACATAGGAGTGCTTATGGAAAAATAAGAATTAAAAAAACCTTTAAAAACAAAAAGAAGATGGTGCAGTTTTTTTTCCCCGCAAGCAAAATATTAGCCTTGTAAGGTCATAAGAGAAGATGTCCTCTTTCCCCTCGTCCCGAGTTACTTTTTTCAGCGTCGTTGCAACTATGAGGGGGTCACTGAATGAACTGGACACTGTTAGTATTTCGGGTGTCTCCCCTTGCTTGTTGTTCCATGAACATAATAAATGGCTCCGAATGTTTCCTGTGGAAGATCCTAAAACAGGGATTGGCAAACTTAAAGACTCAAAAGCACCATTTGGACCCTTTTTCCCACACAAAAGAAAACACCGGGAGCCACAGAAACCTTCCCGTGCCTGACTATTTCCTGAGCGGCCACAGAACTAGCCTATGTAGTTGAATTAAATGTTCTGTTTTCTTTTGAAACTTTTCTTTTCTTGGATTTATCCGTGGTTGGCCTAATGGGGGTCGAAAAGCTCAATAAATCGCATGCAGGCGGGTGTCGCCCATATTTTGAGCAACAGGGAGCTGCAGCAGAGGGATGAAAGAGCCACATGCGGCTCCAGAGCTGTGAATTGCTGCCCCCTGTCCTTAAAAGGAAAATGCAAGGCTTCTCCCCCTCGTCCCGCATACGCCAGATTTACTCACTCTGTCACGCTGACTTGCAAGGGTGGGACCGCGTAGGAGTACAGAAGCAGCATGAAGCTGGTGAGAAGCGTCCCCAGGACGAGGCCTTTACCCATGGACTTCCAGTTCTTCCTTTGGGGCAACATTATGATCGCCTGAAAGAAGAAGCGGGAGAAAACGCCGGTTGGTTCCTTCGCTCGACAAATCCCTAACGCAAAAGAAAACCTGAAAGACAGCCGGGGGAAAAGGGGCCCTTAGAGGTCTTCTAGCCCGGGCCCCCATGCAAAATACAAGCCATGATGCATTCTGGATTCATAGCAGCTGAGCAACTGGCTGACAGCTGCTCGGTCAGGAGTTCCAGCGGCTAAACCGATCGGGCAGACGTTTTCCTTACGCATCGTACAGATAACCGGAGAGTTACGGAAAGGATGACACAGGTGTTCGGCAGGTAAGCAAGCAAGCACGGGAAAGTTTGCCTCATCAGAACAAACATAAAATCACAAACGGAGAAAGTCTAATCGGGTGGATTCTTTTCCTGGATCACTGCAGTGGATCATTGCCAGGACTAGCCTCTCTGAGCCCTGTAAAAACCAGAAGCATTCAGAATGGCGGAGGGCGAAGGATAATTGAAAGGTGCCAAGGTGAAGCTACCTGTCTGTCATCCGATCTCCTGGAGAGAGAGAGAGAGGGAGGGAGGGAGGGGAGAGAGAGAGAGAGAGGGAGGGAGAGGGAGAGGGAGAGAGAGAGAGAGACAGAGAGAAGGTACCTGGCACCTGCCTCCAGCCCACCCAGGAATCCAGAGGAACCAAGCAGGGAATAGCTGCTGATTTGCAAGATCCAGAGAGTGCAGGAGAGTAACTGCATTGCAGCAAGAGGTTGTCCTCTGTGGCAGGTCAAGGAAATTTGCCTCCAGGCCCTGCCAGAATACAGGTCTGGCGAGGGTCACGGCAGGCCTGCAGAGGTGCAGAGGGAACCCATCCCATCAACCGGGAGGCGCTGGTGGAGAACAGAGGCTGGGGAAGGTGAAAGGAAGGAGGTTTTCCACATACGGCACTTTCTGTTCACAGATCCTGATCCCCCCCCCCCTCTCTCTCTCGTGGTTTTTTTTATTTTATTTGTGCTGATAAATAAATAAAGGGAGACTAGTATAGATCTATTTCAAGCTATTTAGCTCTCATCAGCTAGCCATACTAAAAAAAAACACAAATATAACAAAGGCAACAGTAAAAATATTGGGTTTCTGTTGGGATGGACTCTTGTGATGA